TACCAGTACTGCTTTGAATTGATCATGTTTTCTAGTTGCTGCTCTTCTTGCTTAATAGCAAATTATTGTCAGCTTTGCTCATCATTATCAGTTTAGTTTGTTATGAATTGTTTTTAACCCCACAATATGTAGTAATGAATATTTATGAATTTTTAAGCTATAATTTTCCAAAACTAGACTCTGACATGTATGCAATGTGTTCAAGTATGAATCATCCATACCCTTATTGCTAAAGCAGATGTACACATATTTCCCCCATAATTTGTTCATGTGAGAATATTTTGTTGGTAATGTTGATAGTACACGACCTTATCATACAAATTATAATATACCATCAAGATAAATCCAATATAATGATTGCATTATTTTGTTTATATGATATTGTTTTAAAATATAAAGGCAAACATGAGCCAATAATTTGTTTCTATTATATGAAAAATAAGCACTTAATGTATTTTTGTTTGTTTTTTTTTGTTTGGGACAAAGCTCTGATGATCTTTTCAACATAGAAATAAATGGGGCAAGTCAAAATTGTGAATTCAAGGTCAATATTTCCCCTACTAGTTCTACCAGACTTTAATAGATATTCTACAAATAATGGAGTCTTTATTCAAGTAAATTGGGAGAAAGTGATACATGTTATTGTTTCCTTTTTATAGATTTGCTACGCCTTTTAGCACATTCTGATGTTTGTTCATTTGTTTTGCAGTGCCGGGACCTTATGCATGCTAGGTGAGCACTCTACCACTGAGCTACATTCCCAGCCCCCGTGATGGCTTTTTTATACCAACATAGCTAGGCCAGGATGCCTAAATATTGGGTTGAATACTAATCTGAAAGGTATTTTTAGATATAACTAACATTTAAATCAGCAGACTTTGAGTGAACCAGATTACTTTTTATAGTGTAGGTGGCCCTCATGTAATCAGTTGAAAGCCTTAAGATAAAAAAGACTAACCTCACTCAAGGAAAGAGAATTCTGCCAACAGGCTGTCTTTGGACCTGAACTACAGCATCACTTTTTCTTTGGGTCTTCAGCCTGTTGTCCTGCTGACTTATACTGAAGATTTGGACTTGCTAGCTTCCTCAATTCACTTCAACCCCAAATAAACCCCATAGTTGAAGATTTAAACCTACAGTAAAGATTTTGGACTTGACATCCTCTATAATACTATGAACTGATTCATGAACCAATTCTCTCTCTCTCTCTCTCTCTCTCTCTCTTTCTCACCAACCTCCCCACTGTTTTTCTAGAGAAACCCAACTAATATACATATTAAAGGCCATGAAAAGTTCTGCAACTAAAATACACCCAGTTTAATCCAGTATTTTCCCAGTTTAACCACAAAACACTTTTTTATATAATATCTATTATCTCAAAACAGCTTGGAAAGTACTTTTCTTCAACTATACCTTAGACAAAGATTTATCTGTAGCTTATGTTAGCACCATTGGACTCTGAATGTGTTTTATTCAAAACTAATAACACAAGTATTGGAATAAAAATTACCCACATTCTTTTTTTCTGTACGTGGCATAGGCAGAAGAAAATAACTACAAGTTATATGAACACAGTGATGCAAGATGTCCATTCTGGAGCCAGTTTCATGTGTAGTTATGTCTTATGAAAAAATATCTATTATGAAATAAACCCCATGGCTGTTCTTTTTGTAAAATGTTCTCTTATGGATATCTTTGTCTGTTTGGGTTCCTATAACAAAATTCCAAACTGGTTGACTTATAAACACACATTTATTTATCTCCCTTATGGAAGCTGAGAAGTCCAAGGTGTGTGTGGACTCTGTGTCCAGTGAAAGTCCATTTCCTGGGTCACAGATGGCTCTTTCTAGCTGTGTCCTCCTCCCATGGTAGAAGAGGACAACACAGTTCCTTGGGCCTGTTTTATAAGGGCATTAATCTCATACATGAGATCTCTGCCCTTGTGTTCTAATCACATCCCCAAAGGATTTCAACACATGAATTTTGGATAATCACGAACATACAGCCCACTGAAATGGCAATCCCTGGGGACTGAGGAGACATACTGAAATACCATCAATTGCAGTGTCATTGGCACAAAACAATGCATGATAGCACAGAGCCTAAAATGATCAGATACCCCATGGCTCCTTTTTATCTTACTTTCCTTGAATATGTTTCAATAAATGGTCTTTGCTAAGCCCAGATATTTTTCTGACTATATCCCCTACCCAAACCCAGCAAGCCTTCCCCCTCCCCAGTAACATGAATTCAAACACCCTGGCCCTCTGCCCTGGATTTAAAGCATTATTTATTTTGACCAATGCTTGCAATTCCTACAAGACTGAAATGTCTCTGTGAATGTTGGGGCTCAGAGCTCAGTAAACAAAAATGTTTCCCCTTAGTATGCTGAAAGTTCAAAGCTGAAGAAGAAAATCTCCGAAGCAGGATGGTTTCTCTGACCTACTCCCACTCCCTCTCCTTAAGCTGGCCATAAGAACTAGAATTTCTCTGATCCTTTCTCCTTGGAAGTGAGCCATAAAACCTAGGAAGGTGCCTCTCTAGTCTTCTCCCATGTTTCCTCTTTCCAATACTCTCCCAACTAGTTCTACCAGACATTAATAGACATTCCACAAATGCCTATTAATTCATAGAATGTCTTTTGACAGGTGTCCTGCCTTATACTGGGAGGAAAGAAATGTCACACAGGGACTCCAAGAGGAATCTGAGCAAATAGAACCTGCCGAGCTCCCCGTAGTTTATAACCATCAGATCATCCTGTTGTCTAACAACTGTTCATAAAAACAAAGCCTTCATAGGTCTTTGTTCTTCACCTTTTTTTTTTTAAGTTCTGGAGATCAAGCCCAGAGTGTTGATCATGCTAGGCAAGTGCTCTATTTCTGAGCTATATTTCAGTGTCTTCATTTCTGAGGCCTCTTGTGTCTGAAAACTTATTTTACACAAATCTGTTATGCTTTTCTCTTCTTAATCTGTTTTTATTACATGCATCTTGTCTTGAACCTTGTGATGGGTGAAGAGAAAGTTTTCTCGCCCACATGAGAAGGGCTATTTCTATCTTGATCAAGATGAACTCTGCAGTCCTAGGGCCTGGGGACCCATGGGAACTCTTGAGTGAAGGAATAAAGAATTGAAGGGTTCTTCCTTCTAATTTTTCTCATGATTCCATGCAAATTATCCCTTTGTAGCTAAATCAGAGTGCTTTTCTCTACTCTGCTATCTCTATAGGTCTTCATACTTAAAAATCTGTGCCAAGGGCCCATGAGATCGTGCTCTGTGTACACATGTATATGAGCACGTGCACACACACATACACACATGTGTACTTGCTTGCACACTCATACAGCTATCCACTCATTTACTCTCTAAAGTAAAATAATAAAAACAAATGATTAGGTACCAAGCACAACAGTAGAGAGAGATAGGAATACAGGGAGTAGGAGGTTTGGAGAGAAAGGCTGAGCCAATTACAGCTGTATCACTTTCTGGGTCAAGCAGAATTGAGCAAAAGTTTTAAAATCATAAAAAGAAAAGCAGAGGCTCAGCCTTAACTCTAGAACTGGTTCCTTTTTCCCCATCTGCCATTTCCTCAGTTTAGCACTACATTTTGTACACAGAAAAGGAATTTCTCTTCCAAGAATTATCACTGGAAAGAAAAACATTAAGAAAAACAATGCATTGGCAGATAGACAAGATTTATTTCAGAAAATGAACCTAAATATTTGGAGTGTGTGTGCAAGGACTGAAGATGAAGGTGCCAGACCTGGTGACACTCTCCATTTCCCTCTCCCATACCTTCAGCTACTCAAGTGCATTCCTCTTCTGCAGAGGGGCCAGAATGGTAAGGGTCCCAGAGCTGACATAGCCTCCCTCTCCTTCCAGCCTTACATGCAGATGCAGAAAAATTCTGCCACCCAACAGTGTCATTTGAAGTGGTTACCAATGTGCATACAAATGCCTAAGCACAAAGCACCTGTAGGGTTCCCTGTAACCTCTTCTCTTTTGCCCTGTTCCCAGCAGGCCTATAGGTAAGTCTCTAGGTAAGACTAAAGATACCACCTCTCTGGCAATGGGAGCCAAGCCCTGGAGAAACCAAGGCATTCACCCAGCCTAAATGCCCTATAATCTTCTAGTTAACTTCTGTAGCGGACAGAAAAGTTCAAGCCTGATCAGGCAGCTCTAAGAAGTATTCCTGCCCATTCCACCTCCCTGTCTGACCCCACACTACTTGAGATCATGGAAAGTTAAAAAAACAACAACAAAAATAAAGTAAAAAATATGTGAAATAAGTTTCATTTTCAAAAACCTAGACTGAATACAAAGCTTGCTTTTCATTTTGTTTTGTTCAGGTACAAAAATTGAGTATTGGATCAAAGTAACATCTCACCTTTAAAACTATAGGGATTATTTAAAGAATTTTCCAGATGGAACCAGAGCATGCTTACAACCAGCACCCAGGCATATCAGGTCATTGATAACACCTTAATTAGTATAAGGCCACCTGTTAAACTGAATTGAAATTCATTAAGGTTATTCAGTGATCGAAAGGTGAGATGCTTTTTATGAAAAAGGGCCTTTCAGAACCCCTCTGTCCTACTGAGAAAACATGCATTGAAGGACACCTTTACAGACTTGGAGTCAAGAGGCAAGGACAGAAGCTGCATGAAGTTGTTCTGCACACAGTACAATGCAATGGCCCTCTTGGGGTCTGGTGGGGCATGCTGTGTCATCTCTACACAGTGGAAAATAAAGGGAGAGCCATCAGAAGCCATGAGAACCCAAGCTGCAAAGCAAGCCTGGGTTTACCCATTACATATTTGTTCTTTGGTTTCTCAGGAGTCACTTGAAAGTCACCTCTACTTAAAACCCTTGGCTTAGGAGCTCCTTATTGCTTTATTACCTGAGTCAATTAAAATTCTTCAAGAAAACAGGTGATGAAAATCTCAGCCAAATCTTTTTTTTTATTTGTGGGGTAGGGGGTGGAAAAAACCAATGCATGAGTCTATTTGAAACCATATTGAATTTTAATCATAGCAAATGTGTTTGAACAGTAGTCATAAAATCAACATTACCACGTATACAAAGGACAAGACACCAGTTTGGCATACAAAAATACCATATATTAAAATTGGGTTCATTGGAAAAACTCAAGACAGGCTAAGACACCATCTATAACAGAGAGAGCAAGCTAGAATGCTTTCAAGACATTCAGATTTATAAACAGCAGCTTGATATCCCCTTTATGAAGTCAATATTTGGCAACATTTGGACAATATTTTCTACACAGCCCAGCAGCTCATTTATCTGTAGGGTGATTTGGCCTTTTAAAAGAAAAGCTCCTAAAATAAATAATCCACATAATTGTAAATGAAACATGTCAAGGACTTGAGCGAACAGCCTCTGAGCAGCATTAATCTGGCCATTTGTCTGGAATATTTGTTATCCAGGGAGCTGGGGAATCCACTGGTGGAGCTGTTAAGAATGGAAAGAACCCTGGACTGAAGCTAGATGGCTTATGTTGAGAGTTTGTGACCACCCCAAGCTGAAACCAGCCTCCACACCTGTGACTGTACAGTGAGACAAACATAAACAAATAGTGGAATGAATAAATGTAATAAATGACAACAACCAGTATATAAACCAAAATATTCAACTAATTTCCCAATAGTAGTAACATACTCAAGATAGAGACACAGAACTAGGCATTGCATTCTAGTTTAGATGCCAGAGTTTGTACTGAATTTATCATCAATTCCAGCTAGAGCAAGCTGTTATTGTCTAGAGTGCTGAAAACCCAACTCAAAAGAGTATAGCTGAACAAGGAAAATGGGGCCTCCTGAAACCCACTCATCAGCTGAGCACATTTTCAGTTCTATGCTTTCAGTTTAAGAATCCTGAACTAAATTTGGTTTTCCATATGAGAAAGGCAAGTTGTGCTTGACTAAGTTATCCTAGCCACCCTGTGCTGCTTTCTTCAGCTGGCTTCAGCCATGACTCACCTCAATGCACACGGCTTGTTTTGCAGCTATAATCCCTTACAGATTGTCCTTGGTTAAGCACATTCTCCCCCTCTGGGCATATCTGCCTTATCAATATAGACTGCTGGCTCTGTCCTTACTTCTCCCAAAGAGGGTCTACTTAGTGGTTGGATTGTCTCCCAGACAATCCAGCCAGAAGCACAGTGTAAGGTAACAGCTACTGTGTGCTTTCACTATTTAGAGATACAACAACTTTTTTCTTCCTCTTGTGCGCCCTTACCGCCATCATATCCAACCACCTAGTTCCGGATTCTCAAAGCATGTCAACATAAAAACTATCCTTTGGGAAAACTTTTGTTAGAATAATCCAATAACTCACACCTCAGGGAAATTACAGAAGACTTTCCCATGAGCCACTAGCCCTAAATCTTTTGATGATGAATTTAGAACAGTGTTCTTGAAGAATAGAGACAGTTAGAAGGGAACATCTCCACAAAAACAAAGAAAATACACCCTGTTGCACATCACAGGAGAACCTTCAATACTTTGCTCTAATTATTGATTGTCCCTTAAACATATCATGATATGAATACTATCAAAAACATTAGATTAGAATAAAATTTAGCTAATAAGATGAGTGTTTTCAAGCACCACTACATCATCAGTGAGATTTACACAGTGGGATACCCCAGGCAGTGAATACAGAAAAATCAAAAGATCATTGGCCAGACTGAGCAAAGAAACCTGTGTAGAAAAAATGGGAGCCATATTATAGAAATTTAAGAATACTTGTACACTCCCCCTACTCCTCGAGCAGAGCCAAAAAGTAAGCTATTTGGAAGACAGAAATTAAATGCCCCACTTGCTTATGCTTCTCAGTAATCAAGGGCTTTCCCACAAACTGTATGCAATAGAACCCACCTCTTCCTATCTTTAAGAAGTCTGAAGAGTTTAATTAAAAAAGACATTCCCAAAGGTAGTTGCTTGGACATAATGTAAGCAACTCATAGCAATTGTGAAGAAATTAACTCTAAATCCAATATTACATAATCTACAAATTGGGAAACATAACTAATATTTTTTACTTTAAACTCAATTATATCAAAATCATATGTTTGTATATGGATAGTAAGTCAATTGTGTCAGAAAAATCAATTGAATCTCAACTTATTTTTGAGAAGTATTTCATGTTGAACAAAATCTAGCAACTGAGCATCATTGCTTTTGAAATAGACTATTACTTTCAAAGCAGTCACTGAATTATTTTGGTGACCTCATTCTTCTTTAGTTTCTGTATGGGTAAGGATTACCTTGTGGATGATGCTTTACTGAGAATGATGGAAATGTCAAGGAACAACTTCTCCATTTAGGTCAAGGATGACAAAACGACTGACCAACATTTTCATGTGGAAGCAAAATGACGCCTGGTAGGCAGCATCACTTTTCTATGGGAAGGTAGAAATTGCAGTATTTTTGCCTACCATTCCTCTCATACAAATAAACTTTGGATTTCTAATTAAGTCTGAAGAAAAACCACCATTTTGAAAAAAATTTTAACTGCAATCTTAAAGATAGGCTAAAAAGAACAGTCATGCCTACTGACAAGTTCTAGAATAAAAATCCCACTTCTGTTGTATAGCAAATGTATTTGGTTTATATTACATTTGGGGAATAATGAAAATCAATTTTGACACAGTCCAGATTTTTAAATCAAGAAATGAGAAATCTCTAAATCAAAATCTAGACTGGAATAAATACCAGACAACAATAAGAATCTGATATGAAAATGTCTCAAACTGGATTTTCTTCTTCCCTTTACTCATTTAAAAACCAGTTCCTGTAGCTTAATAACCTCCCATTCTTTAAATTCCATTGGGCAATGGTTTATTAACTGTAAAAAAATGTTTTAAAGTGCTTTGTGCTTCAAATATTTTAGTGATAACTAAAATTAAAAAGAGAGATACTAAACAATGTCAAATCCCACTCTAAAAATAGTACCTACATTTTAGTCTGACATCTGAAAAATGATGCCCAATATGTCCACACCAAATACAATGACAAGCTAGCAGACTTCAAGGGCAGACAAAAACACTCTGAACACCGCAAAATAAGCTTGCTCTTAGATTTCGCACCTTACTATTGCAGCGATGAAGTTTAGGTAAAATACTGGAAGTGAAGAGGGTTTTCATTGGACTTTTTTTTTTCCAGTAACAAGTACTGTCTGGCCAGAAGACCCTAAACACAATTTCACAGTACAGAGCATGCACAGCTTGCAAGTCAAACACTTTACAGCTATTGTCTAACTACTATTTTTGAACAATAGGTTCACATGCAGCTAATGGTCCCAGAAAAGGAGCTTAATAAAGCAGTTGTTAAGTTTCACCAACTATTCCTTCGTCCAAAGTTATCAATAACCCCAAAGGGCCATCTCTGAATGTTTACTGTAGTACTTGATCCCATACTTTGTAAGCCCAGAAAGAAATTTTTCTTTTGGCAAACTGCATGTTCCTAGCTCAAAAGCTCTCTCCTTAGCCTCACTGTTATATTACAAACACCTTGGCCAGTAGCCACTATGGTAGCCATTAGCCACATGGGACTATTAAATTAATTAAATAAAATTTAGACACCAGCTCATCAGCTATATTGTCCCGACTTTAATTCCCTAAGAGCCAATGTAGCTTATGACTATGATATTGGACAGTACTGGTTATAGAATATTTTCATCATTCAAGAAAGTTCTACTGAATAGCACTGATCTAAAAAAATCTCAAGGGCTGCACCAGCACACAGTTGAACCTCCAAGGGACCCACTCTGTAAGTCATACACAAGAATAAACTTAATTTTATTTTTAAAGAAAATACATCAGAGCTTTCTGATCATGAAGTATGACTGGAACTCAGAACCAATTTGATTTTCATCACAACTTATGGCCCCAGGTCATTATACAGAATTTTTCTAAAGACAATGTTTTTGGTGGCCACACGTGGCTCTACTTAACATATTAAGGATTCTCTGGCTTATGTCAGGATCATTAATAAGGATGAAAATTCATGCTTCATATAGTTTACTATTTACATAACACTCATTGTCTTTAACTTACGGGGGAGAGGATGGGCCAATGCTTTTCAATTTTAAAAATTCACATCACGTGGTTTGATAGTTTTCTTTAGATATCTATACTGATCCCTAAATCAATCTCCATTTATTTCTCAGAGAGATAGCTAACTAAAATAAGGAAATAAGATCTACAAAACAACCCTTTAAGCAATAGTTGACATAATAAAGGGTAGTCATCAACCCTGAAAAGAATTCTATCCAGACAGAAATGCCAATGGATCTAGGAAGGGACAAGAGGGCACATTAATGCACAGTTCTCGGCCCCACCCCCTTTACAACAGAATTACAATCTTCCATGCTCCTCTCTGGCCTCCATGGACTCATCTACAAAAATGAAACCAACAGAAGCTGCCCACAGCTCTAACATCTTGTGCTTTTTTTTTTTCAATTGTGACTTCACTCATATGAAACTATGCATTCTGGCCATTTGTGTGACTGGCCTTTTGTCACATGGGAGAGATAGGTTGTTAGTGTTGTGGAAACATGCCAGAAGAGGCCAAAGCAATGGGATGCCAAATAACATCAAAACATCATTAAGCATGTAAAAAATTCTTTCCAGCAGGCTGAAACAGCTCCCTCCCTCTCTCCCTCCTCTACTCAACCCCCACACAAGAATGTACATCCTGACAACAAACTACAAGCAGAATTCACATAAACAATTTAAATAATGTGTCATACAGCATTAAAACTTGCACAGAAAATTCTGATTTGGGCTGTTATTATTAAATTGTAAGGTCAGGAATCTACCAGAGAGCCATTAATTTTGTACTGCTTAACGGCAGCTCTAACACAGGACAGTTTTTAAGTAAAAGTTCAGTGGACATTTTTACTTTACAGCTTTGCACTAAGAAACACAGGACACTGTATCATCACACATATTAGTGTCTATATGTAACCTACTAAACAAGTAGAATTCTATCACATACTATACTACAGGGTCGGTCATTTCATACTGTACATAAATGTATGCAGATATCATTCACAAAATTAATTTGACTACGGCATGGCTTAAAATTGCAAAGGTAAAGTCTGTCTGAAATGCACCATCCTTAATACAACATTTCTCTGAATTTTTTTTCCTCCGAGAGACATAGAAATTAGGTCAGATGTGCATTGCAGCAGCCTGGGAGTTGAGAAACTGACACTAACCCAACAGTATATTATGTTACGTAATAGAGGATAGTATTCAGCTAATATACCTAAATTATTAATACCAAATAAATCTTAGGTTATTTGTTGTATAATGTCCAATAGCTTACACAATAAAATTGCATTTTAACCTAATTTCTAGTTTGAGCTTTCAAATACATTTTCTAAAGGTCTTATGACAAACTTGAAAGATTTGAAAAAACAGAGTTCATAATTTAAATTGAATTATCATGCCAATTAAGTCTTAGCTCTGTATTCTAGGGTTTTTTGTTGTTGTTGTTTTATTTCACACTAATTCCGCTGTTTAAAGATAATAGCTTATAATTAGGTTGTCTCAATTTTATGGGGCTATTTTCTAACCTTGCTTTTTTATAACTAGTCGCTACTTATCTTTCCCTTATTGCCCCCAACCACCACCACCTTTGTCACCATTTTCAGGGATTCAATGAAACTTAACATATATTTATTTGAGTAGAGTCCTTGACACATAGCACTTGCTTCCTGAATTCCACAAAAGGAATTAAAATAAACTATATAGCACATATCTACTTCTGAATGCATACGTGCTCAGGGATAGGAATTTACCATTTACTGCTAGAAGGACTTTCATCATGAGCATCCATATACCATCACACATTTAAGAATAGTTTGTGCTCACTTCGGCAGCACATGTACTAAAATAAGAATAGCCGAGCATTCATGAGGAACTGGTCCACTTACATTGGAATGTGAGTTGTTAATGTATCTTGTCACTTTTCTCAATAAAAACATATTTTGAAATACAAAAGATCTTGCTTTGTACCAACAAGAGGAAACAGGAATTCAAAAAGCGTTTAACTCTCTTATAACAACGTTTTTGAAAAATAACCACAGACTGTTGATTAAAATGCCCTTGCAGGTTTGCCACTGGTTAACACCACTCAATGGCTTTGACAATACCTCAACTGAAGAAAAGCCAAGCTCTTCTCTCACTCTCCATTGTGCCTTACAAAATACAGGACTTAACATAAAGCAGAGGAGTGAATGCTAGAGGTGACATGGAAAAAAGCACCTCACTGGAAGGACAGGTGCCCACAAGGTGACCACTGTGACACATTCACACCCACAAAGTCTTATCCCAGGATTCTCCTAAACAGACTCAACAACCTGAGGTAAATCAAAGTACACACACTCACACACATATACACAAATACACAATATTTACATTTTAAATTCTTATTTTGTGAGATGGCTTGAGAAAAATTGGCATACAGGTTTCCTGTGGGATCAGGCATTTCTCATTATTTCTCGGTTTATTGCTCCCCTGTTGGGCTTTCCATTTAATAAACATGTAGCAAGCTCTAATCACAAGTGAAGAAAAAGGAAGGTACATGACAAAACACAACACACTGGAGACACTTGTTCAAATATTTTCTCTGAAAAAACAACAGTCTGTTTCACTTATTTTGATTTGGGTGCCATTCAAAATGTATATAAAGCCTTAACTAAATGAAGACTCGGTTTCATTAAAAAAAACAAAAAGCAAAGAAGCCAGTACTGTATGTCTTCACTGAATTTTCACATGGATTCAAGGTTTAATTCTACTTGTATGCACAGCATCTTTGTTTTAATCTACCGCTTTAAGAGATCACATTGTACGCATGTGTACAGTTGAAGGTCTAAGTAGAATATGTCTATCTTGTAACATGATCCTGAAAAAATCATAAATTACAGCCCATTTTATACATGAGTATGAGGATGCATGCAATCATCTTCAAAGCTGTTGCCATCAATTCTCAGAACAATTCTCCTGGAATCTTGTTGAGACTGCAACTTCCGCCCTTGGCATCAGTCTTTTGGTGAATCAAGTGGCAACCCAGAGGACAGCACTTGGCACCAAATGGTCAGTGCCAACCCCCCCCATTTTCTCACCGGGATCCAGTCACCAACACCTGCTCAACCTCTAAGTTGGCACCCAAAAGAAATTCCCTTGCACCCCACATCAGCCACAGGATATCACAGTGAAACGCTTAGAAATGCAAGACATGTTGTGGAGCACGATGCCCAGGAGGAAGACCAAGACGCAGGCCACCAGGATGACAGTGCACACACCAGACCAGGTGGAGCTTTTCACCACACCCCGCCTATCTGGCTCCTCCTCCGCCACCTCCTGGGGAGCCCCTCCTTGCAAGGGCTGCTGTTCAGCAGGGATGGTCACCACCGTGACAGACTTCTGCTGGCTTCCAGGCAGCAGGCGGCAGCCCATGTCTCCAGGCAGCAATGTGCGCTCCTTAGAGATAGGCAGAGGCAGCATGTAGCACCCATTGCTGGGAAGTTTGATGAAAACAGGGGTGTGCTCAGAAGTGTGCGGAATGGCAATCACGGCCAGGACCTCAGGGTCATCTGGGAGCTGTGAAACAGAGAAGCCTGGAGGCAGCTTGGTGATGCCTCGACACCAGGGGCACCTCACATCCTTCTGGCTTGTCCTCATCTGCTGGAGGCACACTGAGCAGCAGGTGTGTTTGCAATCCAGCAACTTGGGCCTTCGCCGAGGACTGTAATAATTGAAACAGATCTGACATTCCAGCAAAGAGTCCTGGGAGAGGGTCTCCATTGTGGACCTTGATCAGGAAGGGCAGGGCCAAGACCAAAGGAAATGAGCTCGTTCTCAGAGGCCACCACTCTGTGTCTTTCTGATGGTCTTTCTAATGTCAGGAGGGGATCATGGAGTTCACAGGTATTTAGCATTAGCAGGTGTGTTCATATCTGAGGGAGATAAATAATGCAAAAAAGTAATTAATTCATTCAAAGAAGCTGCAATGTCAATAAACTTAAAAGATTTACATCATAGTTCCAAAGTCCAGCCTGCATAATAAGCATGAAAGTTTCCCACCAGTCAGACTTGAAGATTCTTGTAATACCCAGTGAAAGATAAAGGAATATTCTCAGACCATATGTCAAAATAAACACTTATTTCTAAAGAAATGAGTACTACCAACAGCTGTAGATGGTGCCCCCTTATTTCATAAAGAGGGACTCTTGTTCTATTCTGTACATTTCAGTGGACCCTGGACATCCTAAAAAACACTGGAGAAACATTCTCACTTCCATTAAGTTTGTAGCACTGCCCAGAAGTAAATTTCTTTCCATGGATCATCTGACCTTTTCCTGCTGTTACTTACTCTCCTATATTATTTCCCAAATTCAGGCAACTTCAAAAACCTTGGTGTTTCCCGACACACAAAAATCAATAGCTTTTCTGGACACAAAAAACACACTCACTGAGAGAGAAATGGGGCAATCAATTCTTTTCACAATAGCATCCAAAACACTGAAATACCTAGGAATCGACCTAACAAAAGAAATCAAAGACCTCTATTCTGAAAACTATAGCACTCTGAAAAGAGAAATGGAAGAGGCTATCAGAAAATGAAAAGACATCCCTTGCTCCTGGGTAGGAAGAATCAACATAGTGAAAATGGCCATACTTCCAAAACTGCTATATAAATTCAATGCAATCCCAAATGAAATCCCAGCAGCATACTTCACAGACCTGGAGAAAAAAAATCCAAAAATTCATTTGGAACAAGAAGAGACCCAAAATAGCAAAAGCAATACTAGGCAATGAAGACAAGGTAGGGGATATCACAATCCCCAACTTGAAGCTATACTACAAAGCTACTGTGATAAAAACAGCACGGTACTGGCAAAGAAACAGACCTGAGGACCAGTGGAACAGATTAGAAGATGCAGAAACAACTCCAGACACACTCAGCCACCTCATCTTTGATAAAGGAGCTAAACACCCTCACTGGAGGAAAGATAGCCTCTTTAATAATGGTGCTGGGAAGATTTGGTTTCAACTTGCCAAAGATTAAAACTAGACTTATACGGGCCGGGGATTTAGCTCAGTGGTTCCGGTTCCTACCTTGAAAGTGCAAGGTGCCAAGTTCAATCCCTGGTACCAAAACAAACAAACAAACAAAAAACTAGACCTGTATCTCTCACCATCCACTAAACTAAAATCAAAATAGATTAAAGATCTAAATATTAATGCAGAAATGCTGAACCAGCTGAAACAGAGGTTAGGTAGAACTCTGAAGGCATTGGTGTATGAAAAGATTTTATGAACAAATCTTTAGTTGCCCATGAACTAGCACAATCAACAAGTGGGATCTCTTTTCTTTTTCTTTTCTTTTTTTTTTTTTTTTTGCTTAAATTCTTTTCTTGGTACATTTTAGGTATACAATACATTTACATTTATCATTGGGTGCTTGTACCTGTACATGATGTATT